GTTATGATACTACACATGAAGTCCTCCACCCCCGGACGTTTCCGCCATCCTTGGTTTGGGGGTGTGACACTTACCAAAATCTTTAGAGGAAATAACAGTAACTAGAAGGTCATCACCAGTTTTGCCAGAAAATAGAGCATCCTTCTGTATATCATCAGTAAGAGTATTGATACATTGCAACAGATGTCGGGCTGTTTGGGTATGCATATTAGAAAGAGCCAAGGCTAGTGGTGTCTGACCCTCCTTGTCCTTGACCAACAACAAATCTGGGTCCCTTGCCATCAATATGTCAGCAGTTTCAGTGTTGCCACTAATGGCAGCGACATGAAGCAGCGTGCTTCCATCTGAAATTCTTATATTCGTTAGCTGTGTGTTCTCAGGTATCTTTTCCAACAATTTCTCTAAGAATTCTCGGCCTTGGGAAGTACCAACTGCTGCATGGAGCGCGGTGTTGCCATTATTGGTGATTTTGTCCGTCACTGTAACCTTTTCCTGCCTCAGTATGTCTTCGACCCCATTCCAATAACCAGCTTCGGTATAATTGTATAATCTGTCGAGAATCTTTGCTTTGTCTTTATCTTGTAGTGTATCTATATTTGCATGTTTGTTATGAAGGTAAGAACTACAAGATAGAAAAATATGTGCTTGTGATCTAATCTAATCTAATTTAATCTAATAAAACAAAGGAAAATGACTTACAACCCCGACGAAGTTTCCAAACTGTTCAAAAAACCTTAATCATGTTTTATTTGTTCAAGAAAACCCAACGAACTTAACATTTTGTCTAAAAAAGCCGAACAAACTTTCCAAACCGTTTAAAAAACGTCAATCATGTTTTGTCTTTTCAAAAAGTTAAGTTCTTTGGGCTTTATTGAAGAGACAAAACATGATTGAGGTTTTTTGAACCGTCTTTTCAAAAAGTTAAGTTCTTTGGGTTTTATTGAACAGACAAAACATGATTGAGGTTTTTTGAACGGTTTGGAAACTTCATTGGTCTTATAAATCATTTTCCCGATACGGTAATAAGCCACGTCATCTGTTTCTCTTCTTTGACTTCCATAGAATTGAACAAAAGTGTAACTTCGTTGGGCTTTTTAAAACAAAATGTTAAGTTCGTTGGTTTTCTTAATAGACAAAAACAATTAAAGATTTTAAATGAGGATGAAAATAAAAACTTTGTTTGTATCGACACTTTTATCAATTTTGTATACTTTGTATCTATTTTACCTTGTTTCTATAGACAAGTGTTTGGCTGACTCAATCTTTTTAGTGATTATATTATACAATATATTAAAAGCTATACATGTCTTATATCATATTATAATTACGAGTGCTATATGATTTGGATGACCAACTCAAATAAAAGATAGATAAACAAAAAAAGTTTTTTCTACCTTCAACTACTAGCAGTTCAGGTGGAATACCAACAGGAGCGTACATAGTGTGGAGTTCATCCCATGCATCTTTTCCATTGAAATCAGTTGCATTTCTCTGTTGATGGAGACGATCCAAAACATACCCTAGTGTTGGTTTAGAGAGAGAACCAAAAATCCAACCCTTCACAAGGGCATCTGATCTTCTCCACAGCCTGTAGTGAGTTTGATGGTCACCCACTTTTTCCTTCCCTGAAATACTAATGGGTTGAGGGCACATGTGTTGGGAACCGGACCGGGTACACGCAGCGGAAACACACTATCACACACACACAAACTCACGAAAATAAAGCAAGAAGAACACAAGGATTTTACGTGGTTCAGATTCGGTGCAAATCCTACGTCCACGGGCTGCAACTAGAGAATTTTATTAAAACTCACAAGATAACAATTGGCTTGACACTCTACACTTGATGTTCTCTCAAGTTTTGCACACCAAATATGCAAAACATACATGCATATATATAGGTGAATGTTTGCCATGTGAAAACAGAAAGAGTTGTAACCAATTTAAAGTCTACCAACTTCAAGTTTGAACATGTTGAATGCATCACTTATTTTCCAACTTTCAGTTTGAATTTGATTCTTTTATTTCACATGCATAGCCACATGTTTTCAAC